CGGGCAGGAGAGCCCGGGGCACGGTTGAGTGGTGAACTTGGCAACGCTGGGTTTACCGTTGGACTAGATGATCGCAGTGGTCTTGTCCAACCAACTACTCTGTGATTTTACATATAATCGATGAGGATGAGTTCTCATCTTAAAACATACCAGCCCTGAACCCAGAGGTTTCGAGATAACCCGGCCAGATGCAACTGGAGCATCTACCCCAGTTCCTTGGGGTCAGCCCATGTTGAGACAACCAGCCCTGGAAACCTTCATGTGCCCCCACAGAAGAGACTCCCCGTACCCAGTGGGGGCCCCGTGACCCCCAGGCACCCGAGCATGGGGCCAGGGCCTGGCAGGGCTCCTGTGCTGCTCAGACCCAGTGTGGGTGAGCGACACACGTCCCACTGCCACCGAGCTGCAGTGCTCCTAACGGGATTAACAAGCCATTAACCTCCATTCAGCACTGTAATCCGGTTAGCCCCAGAGGTTTTTAATGCTCAGAGCCAGCTGCTGCTCATCCCCTCCTGCCAGGAGGGAGCCGGGGCTGCCCAGCCCACCACAGAAACCATCCCTGGGTACTTTGTGCAAGGTGCTTTTCCTCCTGTGACAATCCCACACCCACCCCAGCTGCCTCAACCCATGACAGCCCTCCTCCTTAGTTGTAGCCTATTTAATTAACAGGGAATTAACAACTAGAGCCTTTCCTGTCTCTACAGTAGCTGTTCCCTGGCTGGGGTCCATACTTTTGGAGATGCTCATAGACAGATGTCACATCCCCTCTTGGCTCTTGCTTTGAGGGTTTGAACACTCACATTTTTAATTCACTCTGTCATGCCAGGATCCCTGTTCTCCGATCATGCCTGCAAGCTCTCCTCCCATCCGAGCGAGGCCCTTCAGGAGCCACTGGGCCAGAGCCTTGTTCCAGATGAGGGCTCAGCAGGGCTTTAGGCAACAGTATTTATATCTCCCTCTGTTGAGTCAAAATCTCATTCAATACATCCTAGGAATATATTTGCCCTTTTCAGATCCTCATCATAACGATGACTCACAGGATACATCTTTGATACCAACGTATTAAAAGAAAAAAAAAAAAAAAAAGGAGGAAATAAAAAAGTTCCTTTGGCAGATCTATGACTATTTGTTTAAAAAAAACAAACATCTACTGCTATTCCCCAGTCTATATCTTCAGAGTTAAAGTTCACTGCGACAGTACCATGCGTGGTCATATCCCTCATCTGCCAGTGTTACAGACAGTTCTGCCAACAGCCACCAACCCCACCCCCCCCAGCCACCAGCCATTCCCAGCCCTGCCAACAGGCACACACATTTTGAAGTGACTGAGAAGATGGATGGATGCAGACAGGCAAGCACAACTCCAAAAGCCTTGCCTCAACAGTCCACCACCTTGAACTCCTCTGCATGCCCCAGGCTGGCCAGCTTCAGGTCCTGAAGACGTAGTTCAAACTGCTCTAATTTTACTGTTCAGGTATTTTTACCTGTTGACCCTGGTCTGGCATCCTTCCTGAAAACAGGCCTTTGTCTAACACAGGTGAAAGCGCAGATGCAGGTGTACAAGCAGGCATCCAGTCACAGCAAGATGCTCCAAGATCCAGTAAGATGGGTCCTTCCCTTTACTGGGCTTTAGACAATGCCAAAAAGTTACAGCTATACCATCTTTGGTGGGCAGGTGCAAGAGTCCCCAAGAGCACTGCATGTTCCTGAGCCTGCCTGTGGGTCTCACTGGCACCCTGCACACTCTCTTGAACAAATTCTCATCAGCAAGCCTTGGAGGAGATCCTGCCTGAGCCTGCTGGCAGCTTCCCAACCACCTCCTCATCATATTAATGACAGACTAATGGTGTAATTGGGCTAAGGCCTGCACAGCCTTTCCAGTCCCTTGATGTAATGACTAAAAGTGCTTTCCTGCAAGATTCTTCTCCCCTTTCTTATCTAGTAAGGATAAAGTGAATCTCAAGTATACTTGAAGAGTCTCTGTAACTCTGCAGCAAACCAGCTGAGATTTTATAGGTCCTAACAAAGAAAGAGTACACCTAGCATTCGTCTAACAGGGCTGGGATTTATCAATATATAGATAACATACTGAGGTTATGAGAAGCAGAATTCTCCAAGGGTACTTTCAGCAGATTTCAGAACAATACTATTTTGAAGTAGCTGTAGCTTCACAAGGAGGAAGAGAATTACTCCTATAGGAGACAACAATATGGGTATACAAGTAATGTCTTCCATATTTTTTCAGTAGGCAGACAGCAATATTTCTCACCCCTTACTCAGAAAAATGCTCTCTGCAAGTAGAAACATCACATGTCCTAGAAACAGATTAAATATTCTGTTCAAGAAGAAAGACATTTAAAAATGTTGAAAAGTGTGTATTTATTTCCTGGCCAGCTGTTAGAGCAAGAGAAATTAGGCTTCGCTCTCAGACTCAAATCCAGAGATAATGCATTTCCTCCAACTGGCCAGTCACACGATCCTGGGTCCTGCTCCCCTTCCCTTGCACACACACCAAAGCACCCTCTGCGGTCACGACTGAAAATCAAGTCTCCACCCAGCACAATTGCATACACAGCCTGTAGGGCATTTCCATGACGACAGTTGCTGAAACTGGGATAATCAAACCCTTCGATGCAGGAAAAAATATCCCAGTTATTATCAGGTTGATGTTGTAGAACAAACTTTTTCCTCCTCAGCTGTAGGAGAGAGGTCTTTTTGTCAGTGTCTGGTATCTGTACAAAGCCAGGCACACCGTCTGCACAGCATGTTAGCTCCTGGCCTCCAGAAGCTCCAGTGTAAGCCTTCAGTTTGCCTTTTCCCCACCCTTCGCTGCAGATTATGGCTGTAAAACACAGCTAACTGGTACCTCTGTGAAATTATATCTTCTCCTGTACTCCCTGGTCACATTTGCTTCACACTAGCCCATTTCTAAGTATCTTCTAGTACTAAGAACAAAAGCTTGAAAGATGTTAATTTGGCATCATACTGCACCACAGTGGCAATAATACACACACACACAAAAAAAAAAAGGAAAATAGCCATGCAGAGATTCCTGAAAAGACCAGCTGTGATAAAAAGCCCACATCAAAAGTGGCCTCTAGAGTTTCTGCAGAGGCATCACCGCCATGCAATCAGGCCATGCCCAAGGGACAGTGACTCTGGACAGCTCCTGAAAGGAACCAAAGAGCAGGTTTGCTCAGGCAGCACTGAGGCTGGGAGTTCAGGACTCCCAGTTCACAGGGCTCAGAGCATGACAGAGACTATCACAAATCAAAACCAGGCATTTTAGCCACTGCATAAAGCACCACTGCTACTTTTGGCATTCCCACTGTAACCTGCACAGAGCTGTAATGGGAGCAAATAATAGGTCCTCGGGTACCAGCCTAAATGTCTTAGGGACACAGTTCTTGACTCATCTATAAACAAAGTATTCTGGGTGTTTCCCTTTCGAAAGTTGATGCAATTTAGAAGACATTAAAGAAAGTGTCCCCAAAGAGACCTATCTTTCAGTCATTGACAATATTTTTTAAAAACACTAGTATTTCCACTGCATCACATATTTCTCAAGTTTAAGGTCCAAATGGGAGATGAAATTCTAAAATAGAAAAAGTACCAAAAGCTTGAGAAGCACAACTTAAAACAGCTTTTTATTTAAACAGCTCAGTCCAGAATCGGTTTCTTACAAAACAAAAGCAAAAGTCTACACATGTCCCCCTCTCCTCATGTGTGGAAATCAGGCTTGAAGAAAACACACACACACACAGACACACACCCTTCTTGAGCAGCCAGGCTTAATCCCTGGCAGTCAGCACAAACTTCACTGTCTACTTAAAAGAAGCAGCTGCCATGGAGCAGATCCTAAGGTTTAGCAGATGAGGCCAGAGATCAGAGTCCTTACACAGACATGCGCCTAACAGGCAACACACACCTCCTGGCAGATAGTTACAATACTTAGTTTCAAGGTACTAAATGCTCTGCACAGAGAAAAATCTGGGGCTCTCCCTTCTCTCCCCCACCTCCACAAAATGTCAATATCTGCCTGGATCTTTTCTCCTCACTGCCAAACTGAATACCAGAGAGCCAGTTCGTTGAGTGACCCAAGTAAGAGTCAAATTTTGCCAGTGAACTGAGCCCTGTAAATACAGACTAGAATTCTTGGACATGGAAGATTGATTGTTAAAGCACTCGCAGCTGCTGAGAAGTTAGTTTTCACAACAACCTTGTGGACAGACAACCATTAACTGCTTTTAAACACAACAACTGTGGAAGCTGAGATGCTGAAACAAATCAGGATGCTACTTGCCCACGGCCACTCAGTTATCAGCAAAACCAGGACTGCAAAACCTGCAGGCTGCCAGGTGCGCACGGCTCATCTGTCACACTGTCAGATTGCCTTCTCATCCTTTGAGTTGAAAAGCACTAGAGATACAGAAAACTTAAAGTCTTTTATTTTTGAAAACTCAAAAAATACTTGATTGCTTTTGTTTTCTCTTTTTTAATTAAAAAAAATCTTAGCCACCTTCTCTTTTGCTGTCACTATTACACTTTTAAAAAATCCTCAATACGCCGCTTTTTGGGGGGACTCACTGAACATGTCTCTCCTGTATCTTGCAAGGCACTGCCAGAGTCAAACTCACAGCAAGCATCAGCTGCCTCCAAAAGCAAGTCTTCATCATTGTCATCTTTGCTCTCAGAAAAAGTCCTCTGGAAAAGGTCGTAGATGGTCTTCTGCTTTGGATCTGGCTGCAAAATTAGAACAGAGAGAATCTGTATACACATGGTCATATACAAACAAAGTGAGCAACAGAGGGACTCCCCCTGAGACAGTGCAGATGTGTGCATATATCATACATATACATACACACACACATACATATATCTCAGACATATGTATGCTATGGAGACTATAATGTCCCCTTGCAAGCAGCAGGTTTGGGAACTCTCTGTGGAAAGTGCAAGTCAAGGCATGGATCCTGGGAGGAGTTGGAGAATCTGGTCTGTGGCATTAAAGGCAGAAAGGTCAGCCTGCTGATTACTTGCCAGTCTAGATGCACACAAGCCAAAGCCCATTCAGCCTCTCCCAGGGACCATCAATATTCTTTCAGGTCAATTACCTTAGGGAAGTAATTAGTGGATTCAGCTGTTTCGGAAAAATTAGTTTCTGAAAGACCAGCTTCCCCCAGCACTTTGATTTTCTCTTGAATCATTGGCCTAGGAGAGATAAACAGATATTACTGAAAGGAAGAAAACACCGTGCAAGGACACTGTGTCATTCGCTATGTGTAGATGAAAAAAAGATGTAACAGGTGTAAAGATGGCTTTTCTACCAAAGCTTATTAGTTCCTTAACCTGTCCTGCTCTTGTGCTGTCTTGGGATATCAATCAATCCAATTTAAATAAGTATAAATCCAATTTAAAAAAGTAACGAGAAGAGGATTTTGCGCTATAAATATCTGGAAAACATACATATCCGATAGGGAAACTACCAATGGTATGAATTCAGAACAAAAAGGTGCAGCTAAAGGGAGTCCCAATGGCCTGTGTGTTCAGTCTCCAAGGCAAGCAATGGTAATCTCCACCAACAGACTCATCAGCATTTCCAGGGTATTATCTCCCAAAGTACTGCAGGAGGAAGAATCCGTCACTGGCCCAAGAGGTCCCAACTGCACCTGCAGACTGGACACTTTGAAAGAAGCAAAGGCCACAGCACAATTAATGCTTTTACTACATAGCCTTGTCTTCTTGTTCTTTTTCTCGCCTTTAAAAAGGATGCCACTGTCCATCTTTGAAGAGCCGTATTTCCTTCCCATTAAGCATTAATGACTGCATGGACAGCATTTCACAAATAAAGGCAGAATTACTGTCATTAACTTGCCATGAAATGTGGGTGCTGCATCAGTTTCCAGATCCCTGCATTGTAGGGTTATAATTATTTGCCATCCTGATATTCTGGGAACTGCACAAGTTCACTTAGTTCATTTGTTTCTTTAAATGAGGTAATGAAGATGTAATTTTGGACTTTAAATGAACCAGCTGGTGGATAATTTCTTTTCATCATTGCAGGTCATTGCAGGTCATTGCAGCATTGCAGCACTAAGGATTCCTCGGATCCCCCTCTTCCTTAGGATGTCAGATTCCCCAGCCCTAAGGACCAGTGTCCACTGATAGCTCTCATTACAGCCAAAAAGGCTCAGATCACCACTCTCCAGAGGTAGGTCATTAGCACCTCTTTAACCCTTCCAAAGGGCTCACTGAAGAGCAAGAGGAAAGCAATAGTGCAGTCCTGCTCCACAGCTCTCTATCCAAGCACTCAGCAGCCAGATTGCTCCTCAGACCTGATCCACAATACATTGAACCATCTCCAGTGTCTGTTGACTCTGCTTGAAAGTATGCAGCATTTCACAGTACCCCAGCACATGAATGCTCCAGGCTGTATCCAGTACAATTCCTCTCCTTATACAGAGGCTGGGAAGTTTCTAGATGAATCAGCTCTCCCAGAATTTCTCTCAACAGCCTTTTCCCATTAGACAACTACCTTCATTCTTCCTGCTTGTCATCTACTTAGTTATGTCCACTGTGGCCAGGCCATGTCACCAGTTCACAGCAGCCCTGATTGGCAGTTACTGCTCCTCCCCTCACAGGCTGTGGAAATCAGCACTAACATGAAGCACCTTACATCACGTATGTGACAAACAGAGAAAACAGGTGGCAGGAGAACAAAAGTGTCTTTCTTGCTTCCTACCATAGGTAGTCATCTGCTGTGCCTTTAGCCACCAGGTAGTGAATATTAACAGAGCTGGTCTGTCCAATTCGATGTGCCCGATCTTCTGCTTGGATCAAAACCTTTATTTAAAAACATGACAAAGTAAAAGTGAGAGCTGCAACGTCTAAGAAATAGCGTAAGCACCACCCACAGAATAGGGAGATGTTCTTTCCTATGCTTAATGACTATTTCTCATCTTGATCCTGTTAACACCTACATCCTCAAACACAGACTAAACCCAGAAGTGATCTGGTGCTCTGGGTTCCCAAAAGGCACTGAGCATTTTTCAGAATTAGAGTGTCAGCACTGATGACAGACCCTTTCAGGTCTTGGCTGGACAAGTTGTTATGAACTCTGTTAAGAAACAGAAGCATGTTTCCCTTTCACAGCATCTGCTCCAGCCAGCAAGCTGTGTAACCAGCCTCACTGGTTCAAGCCCAGGCACCTGGGGCTGCAGAGACTAGTAGCCATCAGAGAAAGAAAAAGAAAAACTGTAGAGAAAGTCTCCTGCCCACTACATCTCCCAAGTGCCCTGTTTCTGCTCTCCAGGGAGCATCCAACCCCTGTCCCCTCCAGGAAGCATACCCCCGGATTCCAGAAGAGCTCTGCAAACACCACCAGGTCCGCCGCAGACAATGTCAGGCCCATGTTTGCCGCAGTGAGGGACAGAACAGCCACAACCTGCCTCTCTGAGCACTGGAACTTTTGGCACAGAGACTGCCGCTCAGCTGAAGGTGTGGAGCCATCAATGCGAATGTATTCAACATGCTGTGAAAAGGCAGAAGAAGATACTTTTGAGAGGGCTTGTGTCCCCTTTCCCAAACCCTCTTTCCATGTTTTAGTGGATTCTGTTTCCCTTCCTCATGGCAGAACCAGGAAAGTAAAAAGGCAGCAGTTATATTTTTAAGACCTTTCCTCATCTTTAAGGCAGAGGCACTGTAGCTCAGCACATAATGTACCTCCCCTCTGTTCACAATGTATGACTTGCTCTTACAGACATCTATTGCTCTCCCACCAGTCCTGAGCAACAGGACGGACAGCAACAAGCTGGAAGCTCAGGTACCGTGGAAAGGCAACTGGTTTAATACAAAGCTGAACACTGTCTATGTGCTGATGTTACAGCTGCTACAACCTCCTGAAGCTCCCTAAATCTTCCCCTGTTCATGATGGGAAGAGGTAGGATCCTACACATCTCAGTTGCTCTGTGGTAGGCTCAGGAGAAGCATGACAAACTTGCGTGATGTAGGGCCATAATTCCTCAGTGTCCAACCTCTTTGCTCGACTGGAGGATGCTGCCACAGAGGCAGCAAAGTCATCCATAGTTTGGAATATTAACTTAAACCATCCTTCACACTGCCCCAGCATGATTCAGAACCCTTTAGGGGCACCCATGGAAGTCTCTCATGAATAATTAGCCAAATACTTTTGAAGTCAGAGTGATGATTGGCAGGTCTATCAAGTCTCCCTACAGTATCCCAGTTCAAAAATGTAACAGCATCACAGAGATAAAGGAAGGCAGCCATAGCTGGGTTTGGGTTGTTACATTCTCCTCCTCTCCAAAGAAAGCCTAGAGGACAAAGCAGAGACACAGGGTAACACTCCACCAAGAATTCACAAGCTCCAGGGCAGATGATGGAGATTAAAGAACATTAAATACAATAAAAGCCATTCAGCTAATACAAAGTACATCCTGTGAGGCATTCATCCTGACAGCTCAGCTCCCTTGGTGAAGGGCACATTCAGGAGCATAGCAAGTAGAAATTATCTCTGCCACTAACTTTCATAAACTATCTGACTGGCCATAACTCTGGGGAGCTATTAAACAGCTTTGAAGCTGGAATAATGATCAAGTTAAAACAACTCAGTTAATTACTTACTTTCTTCTCCAGCTCTGCAACTATTGCATCCAGCACTATCTTGTGATGAGCAAACACCAGGAATTTATCATTCCCACTTTCCAGTAACTCCAGGATGTATTCTCTACATGAAAGAGGAAAAAAAAAAACAACAAAACAAAACACCAAATGCTAGAAACTATGTGCTCAGAGAATACAGGGTTTGCTCACAACAAATTTTAAAGATACTGCTCATCTATACACAGAAACTAGGAAATAAGCTAGCATAAAAAAAAATGTGGCAAAATGCAAGTAGCAAGTCAAGCCTCCTACAGACTAAAAAAAGATATTGCAGGAAAAACCTGCAATACAGGTTTTGGACAGCTGCCTACATGTGTTTTGTGTATCAATCCATTTATTATATCCTACTTGAAGCATGATATCCCAGACCAATCAACTGGAAGTCATCTATACTTGTTTGACAGTATCATTCACCCTTCTCTATTTCTAACTTCTGCACAGTCACAATACACTAAGCTAATTTGTATACAATTATCCTTTCTATGTATACTTAGGATTGGTTTTATTTTAGAAGAAAAGATCTCTAAATGCATGCATCAGAGTATCGTAAAAGTAGCTTTTCTTGCAAGGGTTCACACTGACAATTTACTCCATCTTAACAATCTAAGTACATCAGATACTTCAAGGAATTATCCATATGCATATAGGCTAATTAACAATGAAAGGTAACAAGACTCCTTTTACATGCAGTTAAACAGTGCTAATCAAATGAAAACATCTGACTTTTGCCATGGACTAATAGCTGAGGTACAGAACACATTTCTATGTAATAACTTGTGATACAATCAGGTCAACTGGAGCCTGAAAAACACCTAAAAGCCTAAACTTTGTAACTAAGTATAGCAGTAGCTATCAGAACAGATGATACAAATGTCATCGTTTCTTTGGAATAACAAAGTTGTTGTAAAGATCAGGAATACCAAGTTCTTTGCTAAATACAACACAGCTTAGGTCAGCAGCAACTGTCAGAAACACCAAGTGGGATTTCCAGCACTATATTAAGATGTTATCAGTGCTTTGCAGAGAGCTCCCAGGGTTCTGTGATGTTCGGATCCCAATTATGGCACAATATCATTTAACAAAGAAATCTGGGAGAGAAGAGGAATTGCTGGATTTTAAAGCAAAACAAATTTCAAAGTGAACATTCAGTGTAGCAAACAGATGCATATTGCATTTAACAAATGGCTAGTCATTCCCATGGAAGCAACAGAAGACACTGTCGTCAAGGGTAAGATATGGGAAGTGCCAATGATAGTAGGACAGCACCATTATTTAGATGGTACTGTGCATTCGCAGTTTATAATAAGTGGTATTTTAAATGCTACTAAACACCAGAAAAAAAAAAATGGACTAGTTCCTGTCAGAGAGTCAAGTAAACAGCACTCATGGTTTTATATTCAGTTCACACTTGCAACTGAATATAAAAGGAAGAAAGTCTTCTAACTGCTCACTAACATAAAAGGAAGAAACTCTTCTACAGAAATGAGCACTGGGACTCTGAAGTGCAGTTCTGTGCCAGACAGGCAGATTCTGCAGCAAGGTCTGAGACTGTGAAATCACACAGTGCACATCAGCTGGTCCTTACATTCAGATAGATGTGGAGAAGTAAACTGTTTTCATGTTATTAGCATACTACTTATTAAAAAGTCATGCTGTATGACCTAAAGCAACTCCTTTGCAGTCCCAGCAAAAGGCTAAGGATAAAAGGGCATGGAAAGCCAAAGAAGGTTTTCCCTAATTCTTAGGGAAGACAGAATTAAAAGCACACCTGTGATAGAAAACTTTTGCTGTTGAGGTCCCATGTGAGCTCTGTGTAAGAGCCAAGAACTTCAGTAGGGGCTGTGGCATCCTTAGAGCATGCTAAAACTAAAGCTTAGTCCACCTCATAAGCT